AAATATTACGTTCGCAATAGGCTTTGGCGGAAAGAAAGATGTGTATAAGAGACAGTATATTAGGATGGATCGGTCCACCGTAAACACATTATAAACATAGATAAATTTCACTGATAAGTCCCAAGTCTATATTGATACCGTTAGTGTGTGTATAACGTTTTTTAAATCCATTTCAGTTCTTTTCGTTGTCCGATATTATTATTATTATTATTATTATTATTATTATTATTATTATTATTATTATTATTATTATTATTATTATTATTATTGTCGTTATTGTTATTGGTTTTATCATAATTATCATAATCATTATTATCGAAGGTCATATATATATTATTATTATCGTTATTATTATTATTATTATTATTATTATCATAATAATTATTATATATATTTTGTTCAAATGCTTAAATGTGTTTCTAAATATTACTAATACACTGTATTATATTAAGGACATTAGATGGCAATAGTATAAGAGTGGTCAAGAACACAACATTCAAAGACACGATGCAACTTTCTTTTATGTAAGTACCAGAAATTAAAATTCATTTAATTTGAAACTCAAAATAAGGGCTTATTTAGTAGGCCTATACAAAAATATATAGGCATCACCCTTATGTATGTATGGTTCTATTTCTGGCTCTTCACTTACGTTTACTTTCTGTAGCTGCTTAGCAAATTTGTATTTCTACCGAGATTCAGCCATTGTTCCCACAGCATTGTTGTTTTTCAGTATAATTTCTTCATCTTCATCTGTAATTGCAAAGCCTAGACGCTGATAGTATAGTACATTCCAAACAAAAGCATATTGTTTTAAAAATCAGTGGTTATGTTGTTCCGTTGCACTAAACACAATTATCCTATCCAAACTTCCCTCTGTCGTATATACAAAAAATCATTTGTTTTTTTCTAGTGTTTAAGTTCTTGGCATGGTGTTACTGTCTTATTTACATTCTCTTCCGGCTGATACTGCAACTTAGGATGGCAGCAATGGTAATTTCATATTTGTGCCCTGTCATTTAACTCTTTCGTTTAAAACTTTCTTATCCAGATGGTTTGGCTGCACTTCGTTCTTTATTTCCTTAATTTTCACAGTTTTTTTTCATTTTCGTTTGAAATTTTATTAATATTTGACAGCCTTTTTGTATTTTTTTTTCTCCTAATTCATCATAACTTCGGCTATTCTTCTTTGGCTGAAATTTTAACAAGTTTACGTAAGGTGTTTATCATCTTCTTTCTCTCCTCATACATGATGATTGCATTTCAATGTCGCTTTCATCAAACATGCTTGTATTGCTGACATCAAAGCCGGGATGACAGGGAAGCTAAAGTTCAATGACAATAAAACAGATTTTGTGGTCATACCTTCAAAATATCAGTCCAGGTTCACAACCATCTTCTTATTACAATCTGTTTCAACATTGATTCCTGGTTCTCCTATTGCTCTTAACCTCGGAATTGTATTCGGCAATACGTTTCCCATGGATATTCACGTCAAGAACATCTGAAAATCAACGTACAGTATTTCCATATCAACAATATTAAGAAAATTCGGAAAGTTCTGAATGTTAAAACGGAGCAGAACATTTGATTACATTCCACCAATATTGAAACAACTTCACTGGTTACCAATTCTCAAACGAATTCAATTCAAATTGCTGTTGTTCACTTGGAAATCTTTCAACGAAATGTTACCTACATCTATGTAGGCCTGTCAGGAAAAATTTGGTCCGGGGTAAAAATCGGTCCGGCAGACTGACTTTGGCCTCATAATTACTTGCCAAATGTAGTCCTCATAAGCCAAAATCAGTCCGATGAAATTTACTTTGCTGCACAGCAGACTTGGAAATATTACGTCCGCAATAGGTTTTGGCGGAAAGAACAATTCCTAAGCTTTTACAGATGCGCATATGCTTATCTAACCAATCACAATGATGTCCCTAGCTGAAGCCTGAATTTGCATACATCACCCTATATAAAAGTTTAAGATCGGCATGTACTTGTGTTTAATTGATAGTAAAGCCTTCGCCGTTAGTGAACATTGGAATAACAGTAAGGAAAGACTTAGCAATGTTATACACGGACATACATTACCTCACATTGAGAGAAAATTTAATTTCATATTCATAACTCATACCGCCTCCACGCTCATATGGTAGAAAGAGAGGGTGGGTTGGTGAACGACGTGGAAGGGTTTTTGAAATTTAACATGTAGATTCCGCTAGGCTAGCTAGTGGTTTCAAACCACCAATCACAATGATGTCCATCGCTGAAGCCTGATTTACAGACATCACCCTATATAAGAGTTTAAGATCATGGTGTACAGTATTTGGCTTTTGTTGATAGCAGAGGCTTCGAGTGACAGGACCAACTACCATACCCCCTTCTAATCTCATATATTTGGTAGAAAGAGAGGGTCGGTGAACGTCGTGAAAGGGTTTTTGAAATTTAACATGTAAATTCCGCTACGGTAGCCACAGCATAGTGATTTCAAGCCACCAATCAAAACGATGTCCATCACTGAGGCCTGAGTTTGCATACATCACCCTATCTAAGAGTTTAAGATCGGCATTCGGCATGTACAGTACAGTATTTGTGTTTAGTTGATACTTATTCCTCCATGGTTGATAGAGCCTTCGCGGTTAGTGAACATTGGAATAACAGTAAGGAAAGACTAAGCTATGTACACGGATATATATTACCTGTAGTTGTTGTATTTTTAATAGTGTTACAGTATATTTGCTATGAACAATTACACACATTGACATAAAATTTAATTTCATACAGTATTTACAACTCATACCGCCTCCACGCCTCATATATTTGGTAGAAAGAGAGGGTGGGTGAAATTCCTGAAGGGTTTTTGAAATTTAACATGTAGATTCCGCTACGCTGATTTCAAACCACCAATCACAATCGCTGATTTCAAACCACCAATCACAATCACAGTGATGTCCATCGCTGAAGCCTGAATTTGTATACATCACCCTATATAAGAGTTTTTAAACTTAAAAGGTCATGATGTACAGTACAGTATTTGGCTTTTGTTGATAGCAGAGTCTTCGAGGGTTTGTGCACGTAACATATTCTGATGTTTTTACACGTCTCGCTAATAATTGGCCGATTTAAAGCAAAAAAACAAATACTACTGGCATTAGATTCATGAGGTCACAGCTGTTACGCCACTGCTAGTGTGTATCTTTCAAAATTATTCTCAGACTTATTCATTCATTGATTATTTTCTTTCTGTTCTTCACATAGAACCATGAAAAACTGCAGTATTGAGGAGATTCAACCAAACACATTTACAATGTTAAGTGGTCTCTCGTATCTGTGAGTGTCTTTTGAACACATTAATTATAAACAACATACAGTAAATTTGAACAAGTGACGGTTCGTTCAAGTCCCAAATTCTTTCCTAGCCAGGTGATTGTCAAACCATAAGGTAGACAAAAAGACTAGGAACACCCTATGCGGGGGTAAATTATCAGTTATAGTATAAATAGCTTGGCTGATAGTTTCGTTCTTTGCATTAAAAAAAAACACAGATGGTTTTTAAGTTCAGGGGAGTTTGAAATAATTAATATTCAAATCCTTATGATATAAGTTTTCTCTAAGCAGTTCGTGTATTGGTTGTCTAATAAGTGTAATAATTTTTCTTAAACACAATTTTGAATTTGTACCTTTAAATTCTGAATGTATGCTACCTCTTTGCTGTTTCATTTTATTTTGTATTTTTTTATATTAAACTTCAATTTTTTTCAAAATGGAAATTAGAAAAAGAAACTTTATTTTTTATTTTATTTTTTTAATTTTTTTTTAATTGAAAATAATTCTTTGTTGGTAAGCCAAAATATATTTCTTTCATGGGCCTGACAGATTGTTAATAACATTTGCTGATCATCGTCAGATAAATCATCTAATAAAATTAGTATGTAGAGGGAGAGCGTAAAAAAGCACCTTATACTTTAACTGTATCTGCAGAATGTAGGTAAAAATGGTCCCCTGAAAAAATGGCCCCAGTAAAATGGCCCCAATTGAAAAGTAGGTAAAAATGGCCCCAATGAAAAAATTCAGTAATAGAAATAATATTTTTTTTTTAATCTAATATTTAAATACTAGCTATAAAAAGCAAGAATTGAATCAATAACAAATACAGTTTCACAACAGATGCAAATAATGTACTTAGAGATTATCGGAAAACAATGACCATTGTATAACATTTTTTGATAGTAGAAATAAGTTTTAAAAACGTTATTCCACTAACAAAGTAGAGGAATGACATACATACAGTACTTCAACTACCAAAATGTGCAACTCATAGATAACCACAAAATTCACTTTTGTTATTAAGTATAAAATGAAATAATTTCATGTTATAAACAGTACAAATAAAAAATAGTTAAAGCATGTGGATCAATTGTGTGTTTGAATCACAAGTTCATGTATGCGAAAAGGGAGAGGCTTACTTTCTCACAAACTTAGCAATAAATGTTCTGCTTAGATTTACTTCAAAATTTGTTAATCAAATATTGTTTTTAAGGTAAACTGAATAATTAGGAATAGGCCTGCGTTTATTTAAGCAACTTATTTAATTGCATACTTGGTTTTTACTCCCCGCCAACTAAATTTAAGTGCTTAAAACTATACTAAATAATGTAAACTAAGATACTATATATACATATGTAAATATGGCAATTATGCTAAGAATTAAAATGGCGTGTAATTGTGAGGGTAGGGTAATTATGGTAGGATTAAATGGTGTTTCTAAATTTCAGAAACCTCCCAAAACACACTGTAGAAAACCAAACAATTCAATTTTGATTGACTCACTTGATATATCAATAAGAAAATTAAATATTCAAGAACCTATTTCTTGGTTAAAATGTTGATTTCTTTTTGTGAAAAAATACTTGCAAATACACCACAAACCTCCAAACACACTGCGAATCCCACCCAAACCCTTTAATTATGATTGTAGACCTCTCTATTTCTAAAAAAAAAATAATAATAATAATGTTCATATAAACTCATTGTTTGTGGGGTTTACCAATACTCGGATTGAATTTCTGGAAAATTGTGATTCCGCTTCCGTGAAATTGGCCACAAATAAATTGTTTTAGTATTATTAAATGCATGATTTATGCTGATTTATTGATTATGTTGTTGCTATTTTTTAACATTTAAATGGGGAAAAAAATAAAAAGTGTTATTCAGGGCTTTTTTTTTTTTTAAATCTTTGAATATTTTATCATTGCATATGTAATTCCTGCAAAAAGTAAAATGTAAATGACAATTTATTTGATGTTAGATTACTTTTTAAAAACTAAATTATTTCAGTTAAAAGAATTGCATATGATTCTAAAAAAAAAATCAGTTTTAATACAGAATTTTATTATTAAGGCTATTTTTACCTACCTGTCATTTGGGGCCATTTTTACCGGGGCCATTTTTTCCAGGGCCATACTTACCGTACACCGTATCTGCAATGTAATGAATAACAACATACCGGATCGGCAGAACAAATAATTTATAAAAGAGGCTACTGTGTGGATTCGATAATACGAGAACAACGTAAACATGTACTGAGCTACTGATATCATCCTGCGACCCTGCTACAAACACCTCTAAAAAAAGGATCTTCTGGATAAGATATTGCAACATCACAGAAGAATGATAATATAAACCATACTAGCTTAGCCAAGTAAAACATCTGGCGATGAAAATTTTGATTGAAAGTGTAGTGGCAAACTTACTTTGCTTTACAACAAACATTGAATTATAACATTTTAATATAAGTATAATTATTTTATTGATTTGATGAAGCAACATTGGAGACAACAATCTTGTCACAATTGAAGAGGACATGATTTCTCTAAACGGTTCCAGCCCTTGTGAGATGTAAGTTTATACTTGTCTATATTTCCTTTTCCCCGATGTTTCCTTCTTGTTTATTATATTGGAAGCGATTGGTATGGATCGGACTCACGCCCTTGAGGTCAGGGGTTTGAAACCCTAACTCCACAAGTCACTTGTGTCCTTAGGCAAGGCACTTTATGTGAATTGTCCTCTAACCAGGAATATAAATGGGTACAGGCATATTTTGGGAAGGTATAACAGACTTGTGAGGGGGTGTGGCGAATCTCTCCCTACACAGCCTTGTCCTAAACTCCATATGAACGAGAAATTGGCACGACGGCCTTTGAGATATACTCAATGTGTCATATGACATAAAATGATATGATACATCATTTTATCAATTATTTCCACAGACTTCTAAATGTACTTGCGCTAACTGAAATAGCAACAGGGAGTTTCAGAAATCTTGGATACAGCTCATCCGTGTAATTATATTTTGTTTTTGTGTGTGTACATGTGTGTGGGTGTGGGGGTCTGTGTGTGTAAATTAATTTTTAAAAAATGTTCAAATAATATTTTCCACACTATCACAATCATTTTATTTTACAGATATTTGCAATACAACTCGATTGCAACCATTCCTCCGAGAGTGTTTCAGTCACGTGTGTTAAAAAACTTGTAAGTACAGTATAGTGGTATTCAAGTTTGGATTTTGCATTAATTGTGTGCTACATACCCTCGCGCTAACCGCAGCTTGCCAATGGTCTGTTAATGAGTTTTCTGCAAGTAATAAACTATGGGAAAACATCTAAAGTGCTCATATGTAATACAAGCGGGTGTACGGTAAGAATGGCCCCGGCAAAAATGGCCCCGGTAAAAATGGCCCCATATGACAGGTAGGTAAAAATGGCCCCAATAATCAAATTCTGTATTAAAACTGATTTTCTTGAGTCAATATATGCATTTTTTCATCTTAAATAATTTAGTTTTTAAAAGGAATCTAACATCAAACAAATTGCCATTTACATTTTACTTTTTGCAAGAATCAATGTTCAATGATAAAATATTGAAAGACAAATAAAAAGCCATGAATTACACTTTATTTTTTTTCCATTTAAATGTTAAAAAATAGCAACAACACAATCAATAAATCAACATAAATCATGCATTTATTAATACTAAATTAATTTACTTGTGGCCGATTTCACGGTAGAGGAATCAACAATTTCCAAAAATTCAATCTGTGTATTGGTAAACCCCACAAACAGTGGGATAGTATGAACGTCAAATTATTCATTTTTTTTTTTAAGAAAAAGAGAGTTCTACAATCATAATTATATGGTTTAGATGGGGTCTGCAGTGTGTTTAGAGGTTTGTGTTGTATTTGCAAGTATTTTTTCATAAAAAAATCTAAATTTTAACCAAAAATAGTTATGAATGTATTTAATTTTCTTATTGATATACCAAGTCAGTCAATCACAATTGAATTGTTTGATTTTCTACAGTGTGTTTTGGGAGGTTTGTGAGATTTAGCAATATTACTTAATCCTACCATAATCACCCTACCCTCACAATCACACGCCATTTTATTTCTTAGATGAGTAAAAGTATGCAACTAAATTAGTTGCTTAAATAAATGTATTCCTAATTATTCAGTTTACTAAAAGCAATACTTCTTTGAATAAACTCTAAGCAGACAATTTATTGCTAAGTTTGTGAGAAAGTAAGCCTCTCCTTTTTCCCATACGTGAACTTGTGATTCAAACCCACAATTGATCCACATGCTTTAACTACTGTTTATTTGCATTGTTTATAACATGTAAAGTTAATTCATTTGAAATTGTATACTGTATGTCATTCCTCTACTTGGTTAGTGAAATAATGTTTTTAAAACTTTTATTTCTACTATCAAAAAATGTTATTCAATGGCCATTGTTTTTTTATTATCTCTCAGAACATTATTTGCATCTGCTGTAATTGTTAAAAAAAACAAATGCTTTTAAAGAAATTTAAAAAAAAACACATATTGATCTCAGTTCAAAGAAAAAAATAAAACTTATTTCTAAATTTACAATTTTCACCTATAAACCTCTTAATTTCACAAAAGAGTGGGTTCTTTTCCAAACAAATACATCCTGCCTAATATTGTGTGTTTAGGTTAGATCTTTTGCTTTAACTTTGGAAATTGAGATCATTTTCTATTTCTGTATAAACTAATTTTTTTTTTCATATTACTGTAAACCTAATGGGTTTTGATAAATTTACTCTGCACTACGGAATTTCCAATATAAAAAAAAAGAAAATTAATTAAAAAGACTATAGATTGAAAATAAGTAAGGCGTAACATATTTTTAATCTATGTTAATGCATAACTATTTTTACATAATGAAAGTTAGTAAATCAAATTATTTGTGGCTTTTATTTATTAAATCAATTAAGAACATAATAGCCTGGTTCACGTCGAACTTTATCTGGATATACCCGTCTTGAAACAAGATACGATAATCTCCTAATTGCGTTCGATGCCAAGTTAGAGCCAGATAAACAGCCAGCCAGTTTCAGGCCGCCGACGTCACACGGTGGAAAGACTTGTTTAATAAAACATCTACGGTATTCGTTCAAAAAAATTGTAAACTACTGTAGAGAAGGTGTGTGTTTCCACTACCTAACCAGCCGACCAGTACGAACCAACGACAGTGCAGCAGTGTGTTCTATCGCAATCTAAGTAGTAGATTCTCTAGGCCCTAGCTACATTTACCTTCGATAAAAAACGAATTATTTTAATCGCTAGCTAGCATTCTTCCATTTAACATAATATTGTTTTAATTTTCATTAAAACGT